CTCCGATCCACTCCCCATAGTCATCTCAGCAATCACCTGTTCACAAAACCAACATAAATTCTCTGTTAAATTCACATCAATGTACAAATAACAAGGACAGAAAGGAAGTAAGACTATGCAATCATGTGCAAAATAACTTGATAATTAGGTTTTAGAACCAACACCGTTGACTGGTTTTTTGTGATCTTGGATTCAAAACTCAGTACATCCAAACTTCCTAGCTGCAGAAATAAGAATATGAAAGGAGCTCCATCAATAATAATAGCATCTCATTGAATGACATTTGGGAAAATATGCATCTGTGGAAATTGGAAATTGAGGATGAAGTTTATTTGTATATTCATTTATATGAAAATGACTCTACCTTCTTCCAATCTGCTGGGGTTCATATCACACCTATAATCCTTGAAGCCCCTGCTATCCTTGCCCCTGAACAGCCTAGAACAAAAATAGATGCTAATGATATAGCTCATTACAGTCCTTTTATGGACCTGGAAGTTCCATATAATTAGAGATGAAGGGAAGGAAGTAACTCACCCAAGACTACAGCTCCCAGTCCGAAAACAGCAATAGATTGGCCCTTTTTTGGTTTTGCAACATTAATCGTAGCGCCAAGACCTTGAAGAAAGGAGATAAATAGATCAGTAACATTTAGAAATTTGTAATGTTACTAGTATTGTAGTATCATATATATTTAGAAAAAGGAACTTTTCCACCTGTGGATATCCACAGCTAAGAACACAAATTTCTCCAAGGAGCTGCAGAATTGATCTTGGCGACACAGCCAACATGGGACAGTGTATTCGTGAATGTGGAGGTGCCAAGAAATGGTATATGGGCTTTCCATTGACAGAAAACCTAGACTTTTCATCATTAATCATAACACTCTGTCAGTGTTGATTCTAAGGAGGTCACACATGTTGCTTTCCTCTGATTTACAATGGGGACACTCCTTGCACTCCCGTGAACACCGGAAGGACATGATCGCCGGGTTGGAGATCAGTCACCCCCTCCCACACTCTCTACAACTCAAATAACACAGAAGCATGGACCAAAAATGAAGTGACTTCATAGTATTGAATAATTGAAAAAATGTTTTCAAAAACAATGAAGTGCATTCTTTTTCTACTTCACATTTAGTTTGTGTCTAAAGGCGATTCAAAGATGCAATACCCTCCAGCTCATGACCAAAATGCGAGGAAACAAAGGTGTCTGTCCCTGCAACATTTACAGTATGCTCATTGTTTGCAGTATATAGGAAACCATATAGTCCGATGTTGAGCATGAGGTATAAAGATGATAAAATTGTGTGTTACCTGGCTTCCCAGAAATAAACATCAGTGTGGCATAAAGCAGTGAATAGAATCTTCAATCGAATAAAAAAAAAAAAAAAACCTTTTGCCAACAACCAACAAAGAACGTTTCACGATCAAGAAACATCAACACTGAACAGAGATAAACAATCAGAAAAAAAGAATTACCCTTGCAACGAATGACTTGACCAGCTTTGGTAGACATTATGTTTTAAGTTGAAGATGAACAAAATAGTTTGTGTTTGAAGTGAAGAAAAGAGGCGTCTCTGAGTTATTATTTATAGCAAGATTAATGTGTTATGACGGAACAAATTCAAAGTTATTTTTCACCTTTCTGCGTACTGATACAACTGTTTTGTTTTTGGCATAGAATACAGGGGGCGCCCTGAATTCTTCATGAAGCGACACGTGTTCTCCGTGGTTTGATTATATAGTGACGTGGTGGTGTGTTCGAGGGACAAATCACCGGCAACGACGCGGCTTTAACTTTACACTTTCTCGTGTATTTGATGAATAAAAGTTAAGAGTAAATAACATGCTCCCACCCAAGGTTTCGCCAACGACCAATGCCCACCCCTGGTTTCATAAATTCCATATTTCCACCCTTAAACTAATAGAAAATCCTTTAATATAACAATGAATGGTTAAATTACTCATTTTTGGGGAGGAAGAAAGAAGAGAGAGAATCCCAAAAAAAAAAAAAAAAAAACTCTCTCAACTCTAATCTCTTCCTCTTTTGCTTTCCCTCATCTTTATTGGCGCCACCACCATCGCTCGCCATTTTTCAGTCCATTCCGGTGATTGTGTCTACCTAGCCACTGGTCAGACTTGCCTAGCCTAGATCTAGTCGTGATTGTCCATCTCCCTCTCGTATTTTTCCATTTTTTCTTCTTCACCACACAACTTTTGCCTTTCCCGTGAGTGCGGCGCCCAACTGCCTGATTTCTTTGCCTTAACCAACACACCAAATCTTTAAGCCGGTTTGCTAATAGCAATGACCATCTTTTTGGGTTGAAATTAAAGAAAGTGAAGAGGAAAAGAAGTGGGAGAGTTTGGTATCAAAGAAAGAGAGTGAAAAGTTTGGTGGGTGTTTTTATGTGATTTTGACACCAACGACTTCGCACATACAAAATGCTAAGAGATCACACGCGAGATGATTATGAGAGTTGATTATGGTATGGTTTTCACAGTAGCGTGCAAAAACTTAAAATAATAACGGAGACAGTAGGGTTTTTATATTAGTTCAAATGCTTAAAGCGAATTCTCTATCCACTGTATTCTTTTATATGAGTGTGTTCCTAGTCATTAGCCAATATTACAATAGGTTGCAAACTGCGATCTGATGTTACAAGTGTTTGGTGTTTAAAGTGTTCTTAGAGAATGTCAACCCAATCTCTTTCTCGTAGCGTGTCCTTGTTGTTTTCTTTGTTGAATTCAAAAGGTTTGATCCCGATCTTGTGAGGAAGAGTTGTCTATTTATACCTGCTGTGATCAAGGTAATGATTACACTTTTGTAAGTGGATTGGTGTCATGCAAATGTCTCCTGCCTTCCCATTCGTTGAGAACTCAAAGAATATCCTTAATTTAAATAAGGCTTGGACAGGTGTGCGAACCAAATTTATTCATAGGCAAAACTTGAGTTGGCTGGGTTGTTGACAACCATATTCTTTATGTCTTTGGAGACGTGGCAGATTCTAGACAGTGAGAAGGCTTCCTGAATTCTGATTGGTGCTCATTGACATCAACATAGGTCAATCGTTATTTTAGGCATAACAATGGGTGTGATAGTTTCTTGTAAAATTTTTATAGGTTGATGCTGATTCAGGATTATGTTCTGTGATTTTTTGTGGAAAGAATTGAAGAAGTTTGGTAAAAGGAAGAAGTCACAGTTTGGTATTTATGGAAGGATGTTGGCTTTGGCTACTCATGCCTTGGTTGAGTTGAATTTCGAGATTATAGAAATAGATGTAGTTTTTAGTTTTTGAATTTATGAAACACCTTTGATTGAAATGAGCTGAAATATTGTTTGCCATTTTCCTATCGATTCCGGCAACGAAAATCCCTCCAGTCATCGCCATTCACCTCACCGGCCTCCCCACACAAAAACTCCTTCAACTCTGAAAATCGTTTGGTTGCCTGTCGTCGTCTGTCACTTCCCCATCTTTTTGCACGACAACTTGGTTTGGGTTGATTTGGAGCCTTCGTTTAGGGTTCGATTTGTTGGGGTTTTGTTGTGTTTTGGAGTGAATTTGATTTGTTGATTGGTTGTGGTTTTTTTCTTGCTGTTTTCCCTGCTATCGGCCACTGATTTTCCTTGCCATTGTTGTCATCCACTGCCTACCCCACGTATTGCCCAAGTTGAAGAAAATGGTGTTATTGAAATGAATTTGGAAGTGTGATAGTTATTTTTCTAATTCTATTAATTTGGGGTTAAAAAGTAATTTATTAATTTATTTGTTAAGGACAGTTTGGTAATAGCACTATGTATACTGTGTCTGAACCAAAAAATGACTGACAGTATTAATTTAAGGGTGGGAATATGAAATTTATGAAACCAGGGTGGGAACTGGAACTTGTAGATTCTCAAAACCTTTGGTGGGGACGAACATGTCGTTTACTCTTTGAGTTAATTTTATTCTTTTAACTAATCAAATGGTATAGTGGGATGCCATGACGTATTCCCTTGTATTTTAAAAATTCTTATAATATGTCATTGTCATATAAAATGATAAATTTATAAAAATTAATTAAACATTTAACCATATTATTTGTTACAATTGATGAAAGATAGAGTTGCAATTTAAAATAGGAAATTTTATGTAAATAGAGAATTTTGAAGCAAAGCACACGGTTTGATAGAGAGAAAAGCACACGGTTTGATAGAGAGAAACCAAGGGTGGGATTGTGGTTTATCAATTTATGTTTTCCCTTGACTTTTGACTTCAAATTAAGGTGCTAAACCACATGGAGCCTCATGTTATTGTCTTATCTTTTCCATTTTTTAATATTTTTATTAAAAGTCTTGTTAATGTTGTTTAAATAAATAAGTATTAATGTTTGACTAATTAAGAGTTTTAGTTTAAATGAAATTAGGAAAAAAAGATTAGTGTTAGTATTTGATTTTACAATAATATTACGCTTATAAAGAAATCTTATAAAAAATTTTATACAAAATGAGATAACAAAAAATAAATGAAAAAATAAATACAACGGACTCAAGAGAGTTCATAAACCTCTTTTTATTTTTTTTATCATCAAACCACTTAATGGTGGTTGTTTCACAATTTCATTTACATGGAATCAATATTTTTTATATAAATAATAGTGTACATAAATTAAATTCATACATTAAAATGATATAACAATACCAGCATAATAGAAGTAGGAAAACAGAAGATAAACTAAACAAATTAATAAAATAAATAGTATAGGCCTGAGTGGCCTTTGGTCATTTCGTTGCTTGTTTGTATTAAGTAATATATATTCAAGTTCATTGTCTTAATTTATATTATCCTAAATGTTAGTGTAAACAAGCAGACAGTCATATGTAAATAAAACAACTAGGAAAAGATCAAACATTATGCATTGTAAGTTGTAATTTTGGCATTTTTTTAATAGCAATCAAAATCTATGTTCAGTGTAGCTGGTATAAACGTCGGATTTCAGAAACAAATGGAAAGAGGCATAGAGCAAAATTAGGAAATATTTTATTATTAAAAACCAATCTCTTATAAGTCAAATCTACAAAGCCATACTTATTCTCTGGCAATATATAGCTCAACTAGTCACACACTCATACTTAATCTTGTAGATATCTAACCCTCCATGCGAATGATTCACCTCAGGCCTTCTCCTTTTAGCATGTAATCAAATGCCTTATTGATCTCTGAGAATGGCACTGAGTGAGTGATAAATTTCTCCAGTTGCAAATCCAGTTCCTGCAACATCAACACAATGGATTCAGTAATGTCAGAAGAATTGGCATCAGATGATATTGGTTCATATTTGCTTTGCATTGAGATGTAAATCTTACATTTTTCATATATTTTTCCACAACATTTGGGATATCAGAACGAGGTTTGAAATTGCCAAAGAAGGTGCCCTTGAGAGTCCTCTCGGTAAGGAAATTAATGGGATGAGTTTTGAATTCATCATCTTTGTTTGGAACACCAACCAGCACAGCCACACCCCAACCCTGAGATTATACAGATTTTAGAATTGCGAACAATGTTATTAATTTACTTGGGATTTTATATCTTCTGGAGAGTAAAGATGATTACATCGTGGACGCATTCGAATGCTGAGATCATGGCTTGGACACTTCCAGTACATTCAACACTCCGATCCACTCCACCATTAGTCATCTCAGCAATCACCTGTTCATCAAAACCATACATAAATTCTCTGTTAAAATTCACATCAATGTACAAATAACAAGGACAGAAAGGAAGTAAGACTATGCAATCATGTGCAAAATAACTTGAAATTAGGTTTTAGAACCACACCTGTTGAACTGGTTTTTTGTGATCTTTTGGATTCACAAACTCAGTACATCCAAACTTCCTAGCTGCAGAAATAAGAATATGAAAGGAGCTCCATCAATAAATAAATAGCATCTCATATGAATGACATTTGGGAAAATATGCATCTGTGGAAATTGGAAATTGAGGATGAAGTTTATTTGTATATTCATTTATATGAAAATGACTCTACCTTCTTCCAATCTGCTGGGGTTCATATCAACACCTATAATCCTTGAAGCCCCTGCTATCCTTGCCCCTGTAACAGCCTAGAAACAAAAATAGATGCTTAATGATATAGCTCATTACAGTCCTTTTATGGACCTGGAAGTTCCATATAATTAGAGATGAAGGGAAGGAAGTAACTCACCCCAAGACCTACAGCTCCCAGTCCGAAAACAGCAATAGATTGGCCCTTTTTTGGTTTTGCAACATTAATCGTAGCGCCAAGACCTTGAAGAAAGAAGATAAATAGATCAGTAACATTTAGAAATTTGTAATGTTACTAGTATTGTTAGTATCATATATATTTAAGAAAAAGGAACTTTTTCAAACCTGTGGATATTCCACAGCTAAGAACACAAACTTTCTCCAAAGGAGCTGCAGAATTGATCTTGGCGACACAGCCAACATGGACGACAGTGTATTCGCTGAATGTGGAGGTGCCAAGAAAATGGTATACGGGCTTTCCATTGACAGAAAACCTAGACTTTTCATCATTAATCATAACACCTCTGTCAGTGTTGATTCTAAGGAGGTCACACATGTTGCTTTCCTCTGATTTACAATGGGGACACTCCTTGCACTCTCCGGTGAACACCGGAAGGACATGATCGCCGGGTTGGAGATCAGTCACCCCCTCCCCTACACTCTCTACAACTCTAAATAACACAGAAGCATGGACCAAAAAGGAAGTGACTTCATAGTATTGAATAATTGAAAAAATGTTTTCAAAAACAATTGAAGTGCATTCTTTTTCTACTTCTAACATTTAGTTTGTGTCTAAAGGCGATTCAAAGATGCACATACCCTCCAGCTTCATGACCAAAAATGCGAGGAAACAAAGGTGTCTGTCCCTGCAACATTTCACAGTATGCTCATTCTTGTTTGCATTATATAGGAAACCATATAGTCGATGTTGAGCATGAGGTATAAAGATGATAAAAATTTGTTGTTACCTTGGCTTCCCAGAAATAAACATCAGTGTGGCATAAAGCAGTGAATAGAATCTTCAATCGAATTTCATTTTTCTGTGGTGGTGCCACCTCCACTTCTTCAATAACCAGTGGCTTTCCAGCCTCCCATGCCACAGCAGCTGCAACCAAATACACCCAATGCGGCATATTACTCACTACAAGATCCCAATAAGTGAAAGAATTCTACCAGAAGCTACTTAAAATTATTCTCATTACATCAAATATTGACAAAAATTATTCTCATTACATCAAATATTGACAAAAATCCTCAAATTTACAACAAACTTAAACATGAAAATCAACTTATTTTGGAAAAGTGACTCAGGGATTATGTAAAAATCATCCTAAAGTCATTTCCACAAACACAATGCAAACTTCAACCTTTCTAAAATTCAATTTGCAAAGACACCATCTCATTTAGCAATGTCATGAACAAACCACAGTCAATTTACAATATAACTACATGGTGTAACCCAAGTTGCGGATCAAGACCTAAAGGGCGGACCAACATCTAGCTAATGTCCCTTTAACACTGAATATAAAATTTCGTCATAATTTGGATCTAAATTACAAACCAATAAGCAATTAAGGTTTCAGATATTGGTTTTGATTTTGTGTTTTGTTAAATTGGATAACAGTAAACGTTATCCATGTCATAATTAACCATGAAAAGACGGTTCTAAATAAAGAACAACACACCATATGATTCCAAGCTTACATACCTGATAAAAGAACTAACAAAGAATACTATACAATCAGATAACAGCTCTGAACACTTGTAAAAAAAAAAAAAAATGAAACAATCAAATTTTCTGCAAGAGATGAAAAAGAAATACCCTTGCAACGAATGACTTGACCAGCCCTGGTAGACATAATTATGTTTAGGTGTTAGATGGTGCAGTAATGAATGTGTTTATTACGTATTTATACTAATGCAATATCTAAGCACAGCAAGAACTTCTTGGGGTCTTCAGGAGACACGGGCCATGCAGTTAATATGATTTTCTTATCATTTCCTAAATCCAGAAACAACAAAACTATTACTTATCCATTAACACCAACCATTCAGGATAAAGTATATTATATACGTTGACTTGTATGCATTTAATTTTATACTTTATATTTAATTTTTCCAATAATATTATGTGTGGATCTCAATTAATGTGTTTACAATATTGAATAGGAGAAAGTATATAAAGTAGAACCACTCTATATTCCATATATATAATATTGAACCCATTAATTTTATTACTACGAGGAGATTATAACTTAATAGAAGTGTAATTGTTAGGAATATTATTTGAGCAACAAGTCATATACGTTTTAACTAAAAAAAAATCATTGTTGAAATTAGACAAGATAAAGAAGGAGATGATCCTAAGGATGATAGTACGAAAATACCAAAAGTTTCGTGTCAAGAAGCTTTAAACATACTTGAGAAGTTAGAAATATTTTAGCTTCAACAAGAAGGTGTTCATACTAACGGCTTATTACGTACTCACAATATAAAAGATGTGGTGATAACTCTAAAGCATAAATCATTGTCCCAAACAATTTTAGATATATATTTTTATTTTATCTTAAACTTTTACTGTAACATAGCATATATTTTTTACAATATACATGTAATTATTACTATGTGGAAGCAAATTCCGTAAGACAGGACCTAAAAAAATATAACTTATTATAATATGAAATTTATTCTTATTTATAATTGACTCAAGTTGGAACTATAATTTTTTTTTACTATATGGAGATTATTCTTATATATAATATCATTATAGAGAGGTTCTAATGTACTTTTATAATAATACTATACATATAAATTGTTTATACATATCGTAAATATGATTTTTTTCTAAAATCAATCATTATATATATATATATTAAAAATCAAAATTTTAATGATTATGTGAACAATCTCACTCTATTAAGTTCCTTAATTATGGTTTGTACTATGTGTTGCTACTAAAGTTTAATTGCAATATGGTATCAATCCAATTTAACATTAAGGGACTTTCCTAATATTTTAATTGTGTTATCCATCCTTTATATTTTATATTAAAACATTACCATAATAATAATTCAATAAACATTATCAGAATATCTGAATCTGTTATATTACAAATCTACAATGATACTGGTAACATATAAATCCTTTAGTTTTAATTGGAGCCCAATTCTAAGCTTGACTAAAGCTAACTGTATATCATTTAATTAAATATTGCATATTAATGGCCTTTTTGAATGTCCAAAATGAGTAGTTAATCAGTATATGAAACACATTATTATGTTAATCAAATTCTTTAATCGATGACAAAGATTTTGATGTTTAAGCTTTTTGGGTTTTGGCCTGTAATCCAAATTCTACCTTCTTTTTACATTTAGTATATCAACATCAAATCAAGAATTAACCTCTCTTTTCTTCACAAAGCTTCAAAAAGAAGGCATTCAACTCGTTCTTGACAATAATCCTATTAAAAAAAAAAAAAAGGAAGCAAAAGTAGAAGCAGAAACATATATAATTTTTCTGCTTTTTTTTTTTTTTTTTTTTTTTTTTGGTTTCATCTTGAGTCCAAACATACATATTTATATATTGTTGTAGCAACTTTACTTTACCCACCTCCAACAACAAGATAAATAAGTCTCCTAACTTAATCATAAGTCATGATTTTTCCCTTTTTTTTTTTTTTGTTTTCTTCTTTCGGCCACCACTACTCTATGTACTAGAATAACTACATCACATTAAGCTCTGACCTGAGCATGCATTTCTACAATCAATTTCATCCTGTCATTTTCTAAAACTTATAACACTTTTGACTTTTCAAAATCATACAAGTCAGTCTGCTTTCACTGATACCACTTTTCGATCTTGCTAATCAATCACTTGTTGTATAATGGCTAATAAATCCAGGATGTAGACGTCGTCATCGTCGGCGTAGGCGAAATTCAAGGCAAAGATTATATTTTCCAATATTGAACGTCAAATCATAAGCTCTCTCTGTGACATATTTTCCAATATTTTTAGTTTCACAGGCCTAAAAATATGTAATAGAGGAGGGTTACTGGTAAGGAAACTAACATCCCGAAGATAACCCTGCAAAGCCAGAAATTTAAAAATATGTATCAGGTTTTGAAGTGCTCTGTGAATATGTATGATTATTGCCACTAAAAGAAAAGGTCGAAATGAGCTTTTCAGTCACAGATTCATAATTATGTCCAATTAGTTGTGCCTCCACATTACCAAAATGTATAATTAACATTCCTTTTCCTAAAGCTCTCAGGATTTATGCTTTCTTAAAGTTGTCATAAAAGCAAAGTAGATCGCTTTCTCAGGATTATGAAGTCAGATCAGGTAACACAATTTCAATCTGATTTTTACTTACCCTGTACTCAATATATCAGGATGCAACCCATACTCTCTGGCGAAAACAAATGGTACAATCCCTTGAGGAAGAGCTGCCTGAAGTTCACCATTAACAAAATGTCAAATCTTTCATAAAATGCAGTTACCTTTAAAAGCATGGACATTATTATACCTGCACAATGGCAGCGTGGAGCTTAACACTTTTCAGTCCAACGACAAGGGACGCGGCGGTCATTACAATGGGGCCACAGATGAACCGGATTGCCATCCCCACGGTTGCCCTTTTGGTGCCGCAGGCAATGATCCGGGGCTGCAGGGCCATGAACAACCCTGCAAATTTAGGCATATCAGTCCTAATCAGAGTTACCATTTCTGCAATTCAAAAACACACCGACCCAATTCGATAAAATATTGAGGCACAATTTCAGCAGTAAAATTCATGCGAAAGGTAACATGATAATCATAAATGCTGACATTTATGTTGCTGCTAAACCATGTGAACTTATGTGAAAAAGGCTGAAAATAAAATACCTAAACTGAACATGGCCATTCCAAGGCCTGCATCTGAAATTATTTTGATTGAATATTTCACCAAACTGGGCATCCCCACATCCCATCTGTTAAGAGAAATCCAGCAAATCTTTTTATAAGTGTCCACATTTTAGGTTCTCAACTGGGGAAATTTTATTGAAGTAATGTGATTAATGAATGAATGGACTCACTTGAATGAGATTAGAGACCAAAGAAGGCCTAAAACACTTGAGTATGTGTTTGGATTCCGAGAAAGTTTCCTTCCAACTACTGTAAGAATGAGTCGAATCATCACTAAGGCATGTGGCATTTTCTGATCTGTTGCTGCTTCTCTGGCTTCTGTATCCTCCGGCATTGGAATTTTTGCATTGTCTCTGAAACTTATTTCTTTCTCTGAAAATTCATGAAAGAAAATTATCAATATTGCTAATCCTCTGAAAATTCGTGACTTTAATTTTTTATTTTATTTTTTAACATTATTTGTGAATCATTCATCTTTATTAAAGGCAACACCTCTCTTCATTATTCGATGAACAACTCAGAAAGGCTGTCAAAAAATTAAATCACTGCTTCTGAACCCAAACATAATATAATATCAATAATTTAACTCAAGTATGCTGTTAATAAAATTAAAAAAGAAAACAATTTTATTATTTATAAAAGTATGTAATGTTATTGACTTGATAACTCAGTAAAGTTAATTAAAATCATATTAAAAAAAAACAAAAAAACACAAATATGGAAACCTAGTCTATAGGGTAAATAAAAAATAAGTTGATTAATGTATATGACAAAAATAAAAAGATGTCAAAAGTTTTAACCCAAAAAGAAAGAAGAAATTGGTGCAAAAAATATAAAAAGGTCAATGGAAAACATTTATAAAGTGAAAAATAATGGCCGACCAAGATTTGGTGTGTTAGAATTAGTATTAATTACTACTTTAATTAACGAGAATCTTTAGTTAAAAGAGCCAATTAGAGAATTAATTAATAATTAGGTCACCCCCTTATCATTACACACGTGCTCAAAGGTAATGATGTTGTGTATGAATTAATAAGATCCTTGACATTAGATGATAAAAATTTAAATTATTTTTTGACCATATTATATTAGGCCACTTTTCTTTGTCTGCCTAATTTTAATTTTATATGAGGAAACTTAGGACAAAAGAGAACAAAATATTATTTATCCAGGTTACATATGTACATGTGTTTGGTTGTCTAATTTTATATTAGATTTTGAAGATCTTACTAGAAATATTGAAGGTGGTCAAATATTTGTATCATTGGATAAATATTATGCCCTTAGGCGAGGAGAGATTCTAATTCTATAATTACAATGGTCAATTCAACAAATAATGGTATTAATAATTCTTGAAAAAACATTTTTTTTTTTTTCGTTTCACTAATTTAAATTAATAAACGTATTTGATAAATCTGAATTTGGAAAGTTACTTTAAACTAAAAATTATTTAAGATACTTTTCATCTTATAAAAATAAAAAAATAAAAATTATTTGGTAGTAAATATTTTTGGAAAATGAAAAAAAAATCAAATATTTACACTATTAAAAATATTTTTGTCAAATTTTTATACATAATTTTTGAAAACTGATAATTTGTATGTTTTCAGATGGTCTTTGGGGCCTTGGGTGAAAAAAGAGAGAAAATAAAATAATAAATCTTCAAAAACCTCTAATTAATATAATCAATGGCTAGATTGAAATTAAACTTGGAATTAACTGGGGCCACCTCTACTCTAAAACCCAATCAAGTTTAACTCCTTCCATTCCATTACGTAAAATTGTTAGTTAATTCCGTTATTATCATGTCACGAAACCAAACAAAATCTTGTGAATCTGTTGGTTTCAGATTCAGATTCAGATTCCGACAACAACTACATTCATCTTCTTCCAAGACTTTCCGTACAATCCATCACCTCCTCTAAAAGCTGCTCATGTTTCCGTTTCCTTAGATATAACTAATCTCTTCTATAATTTTATCTTAACATTTCTTTTGTGTAACGACAACGTTTAGAGAGAGAATTAAGAAAGTAATGTGAACGTACCCGCAACGTCTTTGCAGCTCTGTCTGTCACCTTGAGACATCCCTGGCGACTCCCACATCTTTTTCACGCCAGGGACCACCGGAGACTGCTGCCGGTAGACTTTCCCGTTAACCGGAGAACGTGCCCACGTAGGAGTGTTCGTTGTCATGACGGTGATCGTATCCATTTCATTGAAGTTCGAGGCGCGTGGGGTGGGCTGCAACGAGTAGGCGTCAGAGGACGCGTACCCCGACAACCGCGGACTCGTGGCGGAGCCCCAGAATACGATTTCGTTGTTTGAGTTGTAATGGTAGTCGTGCAATGGAGCCGGAGTGTTAATGGAGAATATCTCAGCGTTGGAGAGATTCGATGCTCTGGGAGTGAGACATATGGACGATGATAGAGCTGAGTCTGGGGCCGATGAAGTGGACCGCCGGATACGGACACGGATAAGGCCGTTTCCGTCGGTTTCGGACTCTGTTTTAAGTGGGTCACGGCCGTCGAGGGAGATGACGTCGTTGTCGAGCTCGAACTTGGTGATGGAGGCTGCTGCAGGGCCAGGAAATTGTGTTTGGATTAAAAGAGTCGCCGCTCTGTATTCGAAGAGAAAAAGCAAAAGTGTATACCTGCAAAAGGAAAAAAACGAAACAACATGAAAATGTGTAAAATGTTCTTGTTTTCTTTGTGTTTTTATTTTATTTGTTAGAGAAAGTTAGCTTTTTTAAGCGTAAAAAGAATATTGCTTTTCAGCTAAAGATGTGTTTTTGATCTTGGTTGTGTTTTCAAAATTTAAACTTTTCAGGTACATTGAAAAGTAGTCTAGCCAAAGAAGAAGACAAAGTAATTAATTATACCAGATGATACATTGAAGAACGACGAGTTGCACCATGAGGCTCTGAGTGAACTCGCCGTACATGGCGTTGAGCAAAGGGATGCCCATGACGAGAGTGTTAGGCAAAGTGGTGACCGAGAAAAGAGTGATGAGCCAATCCAAGCCACCATGGAAGAAGACGGCCCAAATAGAGAGCAAGAAAAGAACAAAAATCTTGGACAGAGTATCGGCCAAAATAAACTTGGTGTCCATTTGGTAAGGGTTGTTTTGAGCGATGAAGTGGAAGGACAAAACGGGAACAGCGAAAACGGCGACGAACCGGTTGATGCCGGAGCACTGGTCGGGCGTGAAGATTCGCCACCACTTGACGGAGCCATAAGCCACCAGCATTGCGAAGTATAAAGGCACCATGGCGCACATGACCTTGTAAAAATCATCTGCAGTTATCATTTTGAGAGGATGGTGAGTTTGATTGAGGGAGATTTATGTTTATGTAAATTTGCATTGAGGTGCGTGTTTATATAGGAGAATTGTGGACGGATTTGACCTTGGGAAAGTTTGTGATTTACTGGAGAGGTACTGTTGTTAGCGGGAATTTCGGTTGGTAAGGTTAGTGGTGAATCATGTTGTGAGGATTGCTTAATTCAATTGTCCACGAGGCAAACTAAGTAAAGATCTTATTATTTCATTATATATATAATTAGCTAATTCATTCTACACGTACCATTATCCTAAATATTCAATATATTTATTGTGAAGAGTATATACAGACATACAATATATATATATATATATGAGGATTATTGTCAAAAAAGTAAAATAAATAAATTAAATATTTCTTCCATTCTTATAAATATATATATTCAAGACAGACCCATAAATTAAGTAATTTAATATGTCTATAAATTTTCATTCCAAAACATTCTTTATAGTACGTCGAATATCAAGAAATGAAATAGAGTAAGTTGTAAAATGAATGTATGTAGAATAATTTACAACTTGATTTAATATATATACATAATTCTAATAGTAGTGAACGACTTTTTCTCACCCAAGATTTGTCTTAATAACACTTTCCTACTCAAAAAGTTTCAAAATATTACTGTCGTACCCAAAGTTTATATCTCAAAATACATTTCACTTTCTTAACCAGCGTTCAACGAGTTATCAAGAGCCAAGGTGAAAGGGGTTTTGTAAAGTGGAAGTCGGCGAATCGAATAATGGTGATTGATTAATTATTCACCATCAGACGGAAATCAGCTAAGAACAGAAAACCTTAGCTTTGCGATGACTGACAATCAGTAATAAATCAGGGGCCCAAGTGAGAGATATTTTGTAGAGAGGAGACTGAAGGTTCAAACGATGGTGAGGAAGAGTATTTTAACGGAATATAAACTTTGGATAAAAAATAATATTTTAAAACTTTTTGGGAGGGAAAGTGTCATTAAGGCAAACCATGGGTGGGTAAAAGTGGTTTACTCATCTAATAAGTTAATAATATTGAATGTCACCGAAAATATTTTGTGGTGGGAATTGGTAAATTATTTTGCTACATCTTTTGAAACTAGTAAATATAAGTGAAATGAGAACAGCAATAATGAAAAGCACTTTGGAAAATATCGACAATTGTTTTTAATGATTTTAGTTGAATGTGCCACTGCCACACTCATTAGCTTATTAAGGAAATTCCATTTTTGAACCCATAAAAGATTACTCATCTTTCTTTTACATTATTCAACTCGTTAAAATTAGTTGAGGAATCAATCTAGACCGCACGATCGGCCGACCAATATTGTGGCATGATAATACATGAATTAATATGATGACAATTAATCTCAAGCATGATATATAAAGATAAAAAATTAAACATCCTTGTTGAAAATTAATGATGCTGCCCCTGTCCATGGAAACCCCTTTTCACAAAATAATTTATATGTGTAATTGGCGGACACATTTAAAATCAATGTTTTATATTTGGCTTTGATATTATAATTTATGTGACATAATTAATTATATATTGTACATATATACCCACAAAAGAACAAAAAGATTATCTATATAATTTATACAATCATTACGATTTTTTCTAATATTAATTAAAGATTAGCTATTAAAATAGGAAACTAAGTTAGCTTATAATTAATAATTTAAACAGAGATGTGCTTAAAAAAAAAAAGATTGAGATGAGTTGTTTGATGAGGTCTAGACAGAATGATTTTTCCATAAATCAGCTTGATTAATTAGTAATTAAACATATTTATATGAAAAAATTAATTTTATTTTATGGAGTAAATATGGGGGCAGGGCAACCCGACCTTACTTATTCCTCTAATAATTAAGTAGTTGATGAGTTAGGAAATATAGGAATCACTGATAATGACTCTCCTCTTTTATTTAATATTTTACTCAAAATTGCAATGAAAAATGAAGTACAAAGAAAGAAAGAAGCAGATTCAAGATTCAACTAGTTCTTCTTTTTCCTTTTATTTATTTATTATTCTTAAGGATTTAACAACATGGCAAAGAATATTATCACAAACGGTAACATTAACAGAGTTCGGATAAAATGGTATTTATATTACAATTTTCAAACTCTGAGTGTCCATTTGATTATAAAATTGCAAAAATTACCATATGAATGAATAAATTCAAAAACTTTAAAGGTGTGTTTGGTTCGGGGTAATCCCTTATTACTAAAGTAATGTATCTTATATTACTTGATTATCACGTTTAGTTGTTAAGTAATATAAGATTTTAATAATCTTTTAACATTAATAGTAATTACTGTTAGTTATATAAGAGATAATTTGATTATCTCTATTTTCTTAGATATTTTTAGATTACTTGATAATTTTATTTTTGTTACAATTTTACCCTTAACTATTAAAATTTTTGAACAATAATGCCCTTATTTTTTAAATTAATTTACATGAACTTGTCATTACAATTTTACCCCTAATTAATTAAATTTTTTTAAGAAAATAATACCTTTATATTTAAAACAAATTATAGGCCACCCAAGACTACCGTTGCCCGCCAGCTACCATAGCTCGAATGGTGCACGACCGGCCGGATCTGATTGGCCTACGTCGATCTGACCATTTCCAGCTAGATTGATAGTTATAAATCTGGTTGGAAACAACTGGATCCATGGCCGTTAAGGTCCAGATCTATTATGTGCACCGATCTGGCCATTTCGGCCAGGTCGATAGCCGGAAACGACCAGATGACTGTAGGCCGAAAACATCTAGATCCATGGCGCCGTGTGCCGGAATAGATTTGGCCATTAATGGCCAGATTCATGACGGTGGTGGCTGACTTTAGGCAGTGGCTTAGGGTGTGTGGGGGTGATTTTATTATAAATTAAACTTTTATATGGTTGAGGTGTTTTAACAAAATCTCAAATATAGGGGGTTAAAAGAATGATTAAAAAAATAATAATAAAAATATTATTATATTAATATTTATAAATAAGAGCCACTTAATAATCTATATAATATATTTACCAGTTTATTTCTCCCAACCAAACATATCAATATATATCAATATAATATATCCACTAATTTATTTCAACCAACTAAACATATTTTTTTAAACATTCTCAATAATCTTGAAGGTAATATATCTTTTTATTAATATAATATTTTTAATAATACAGTTTTCAAAAAACCAAACACGTTTATGATATTTTTCCCAAACAAGACGTTAAAAAGAATTAAGTAAGACAACCCTACTGCCCATTTGCCAGAGAAAGGCTGTTCCTAAGCTTATAAAAGTGTTGAAGCAGCGACAATGGCTCCTTTAACTCATTTGAATCATTTCCATGTGCCAGTTAAAACAAAAACTCTCTGCTTCTTCTTCTTCTTCTTTGAATATATTGAACAGTATTATAGAAATTAACATTTTTTTTACCTTATTCGATGGGAAAAAGCATAGGTTGAATGAGATGATTGAGAATCTGAAAAAAGAAATTGGAAATCTAGTGGGAATGATCGCCCAATATTGTACAGTGATGGGCTTTTCAATAAAGTTGAGTTGTAGTGAAGCAGTAGCAGAGGGCTCAAATCAGCTTTTCTACTTAAAAAGTTTGGTAGCTTTCCAACTTATAAATTAAGGGCCAAACAATAACATACCAAGCTTCTGTCATTTTCTTCACAAATCTTATGCAAGAGAACTGAAAACTTGAAGTTATTTTTATTCAATTATCAGCAGCGTGGCTGGAATCCATTTAAAAAAAAAAGAATATGATTGGTAGAGGTGAATCTGAATAAAAATCAAGGGTGTGATTTATCCATGTTGGTGGAATGATGAAATTGTGTTAAAGAGAATTATGCTTCAAGTTATAAGCACAATTCATGATGAAACTTTTTTTATTTTTTATAAAATAGAAGATGGGAGATGTGATGTGAGAAATGAAAGTGCAAAGAGGAATATGGTTGAAGGGACACTGACAGAATAGTGAGAAAAGTGGAAGGTGTTTGTCTGTAAATAAGGGGCAACTATTTTGTCATATTTCTTTTGTTTCTAAGATTTGATAGTGATATGACATGTGGGCAACGGCTGGCAACGCATGCTTCCTCGACCCCACTTTTTCTTATTAATTCCCCATCATCACCGTCCCCTCCTTTTGCTTTGCCCCCCATCCCCACTTAATAATCACGCTTACTACTACTACTACTGCTTCATGGGCCTCTTTCATTTCAAAGCCCAATGTAGCAATTAATAGACTTGCATTAACCCAACAAGATCTCATGTATTGTCGTCTTCGTCTTGCAAATTAAAATCTAGATTTGGAAAAATAGCTACCAAGTCAATGGCATTAAACCATCCTTAGTTCCTCTGATGATAAAAGAACAAAATGAACTAATATAGATTTTTGAATTCAAGTCTCTGCAAGCACTAATGAGAATGATTATTAAGAAGATTTACTAGATTATTTATTTTAAGATTTCGAAAGATTAATTAAAGTACATAAAAACTGACTTGAATATCTTTGATCACAAAATAATAATAATAATAATAATTATAAAAAAGTCAAATGGCATTATCAATATGATTTTATGATAATTTCCAATAATCTTTTGATATTTAAACCCATAATATTCTTACTTCGTCATTCTTACAGGTACCATGAAATACACATCTGCCCCAAATTTCAGTCAATCCTGGCTGCCTAATCTTAACCAAATTCAAAACCCATTTCATCATCTGGTTCAAAAAGTCACCACCTATCTTGAATATTGTTGTCTAATGTCTAATAATAATTATTCACATGTCACTAGAAATATGAGATTTTGGGCCATTCCTTATTGTAAAATAAGTACATTTAATTTCACATGTATGATCAAATTAAAACTATGAAGTTAAAACAGGGCAAACACACTGGAAATCAATTACAGGTTTTGCAAATTGCATAGTGGTTAACAAAGTTTAATAATATTTAAAAAAAATCAATCTTTATTTTATACATGA